GTTCAAGATTGAGGGACTGCATCTGATAAGAGCCACCATGATTGGCCACCCTGTGGTAGAAGGGCAAGARAAGATGAGGGGAAGGCTGGCAAAGAGGGAGAGAGAGAGAGGGGAGGAAGTTGAACTCATCCTTTGATGAGGAACTCACTCCAGCCATATCAAATCCTCTGCCAGGAAAACAGTACTGACCTTTACATAAGAAGGAACCCAATCACCTCTTCAAGACCCCACCTCTCAACACTGTGCATTGTAACTGAGTTTGCAGCATGTGAATTTGGGGGAACCTTCAAATCACAGCACTAATTCTGTCTTGTTTGATTCCTACCACCCAAGCAGCCCTTATGCTTTTTTATACTTTCTGGGGCTCACAATATTGAACCTACTACATAAGATTAAAGGTTGTTTCTCCAATTGGATTTTTAGTTTATTCCGAGGAATGATCATGCCGTATCCATTTTTGGTATCTCACTATTTCCATCTCTCCCAATTCCAACCATAACCGTGCTTTCCAAACACGGAGAAAATTCATTCTGCTTTGGGGGATAAGGGCATTTTAACAAAGTTCTAGAACTTCTGAGCWATGGCAAAGATGGCTATATATTTTATAACATTATAGACATTATACAGGACAAAAGAGCTCTTACTGTAAGAAACCTATCTATAATAATGGATCTAGGCTCATTTGATTGCCTCGGTCCAAACCTTAATTCATGATGAATTTCTATGTGAGTATAAAATGTCTCAGTCTGAAAATCCAAGGTAAATCGGGGGAACAGTAAAGTCAGCCCTCAATTAAAATAAAACTCCTTAAAGAAAAATTAGGCTTTCTAGAAGTTTCTCCTATTATGTACATTCTGTTCATTCAGATTCTTGTTTACATCACTGCCAGAAGAAAAGAAATGAATGCCTATCATATTCTTCCTCTCCCTCTCTCTTTCTTTCTGTTGATAGATTTAGTGACTTGGTTAGAGAAATCAGGAAACTCTCAGGACTAAGAGGAAATTTAGAGACTGTGATTTTCATTTATCCATTTCTTTACATCATCAGTTAATGACAAACCATAAGAACAGATTAATGTATAAAAGGAAGGTCACTATATATCCTCAGAAGAAAATACTTCTTAAAGTTTTAAAAAATGGGAGATCTAAAAATAAAGAGGATGATAGCAAATGAGTGTTTAATATAAACTAAAGATACAATTGAAATGCTGAATAAACAGACCATTCAAAAGAGGAAGATATGTAGACTCAGTGGATCTACCCTTAGTAAACTGCATCCTGCTATGTATAAGTTTTAAAAGGAAGAAGAGAAGACAGCGCCGAGTGAGAAGTCATGTGTACCTGGATATGCTCTGTTAAAAGAGGCGCTTGATTGCTCAGTAATTGCAGAGCTAGGCTCTTGGGGAGGCCTTTGTCATCCCTCCTTGGCTGACACCAGACGATAGTGTAGCTCTGTGATAAGAAACAGAGGACCAGTGTCTCCATGGTAACTAGCTGAACTCTATATATTACACCTCATCACAAATGAGGATAGAGAGTTTATATATATATATATATATATGTGTGTGTGTGTGTGTGTGTATATATATATGTATATATATATAATAAGTGTGTATATATAAAAATAAATAAGTATTCTGTCTGCTATCTAGGAAGTGAATAGAGTAAAATAAAATAAAAATGCAATTGCACTGAAAGGATAAGGTTGATAGGCCTTTTCCCCCATTGGTACAGGTAAATATTTCATTTTTCAGTTCCTCTGATGGTTTTATTCTGAACCCACCCAGCTGTAGCTTGAAAGATTAATGATGGGGAGCAAAAAGACCTGAGAAGAGGCAGTGAATGAATAGAAACCAGCACCAGAGAAGAAAGAATACTGCTTGGCCTTTGGGGAAAATAAATAAGGATTTACTAAGTCTGCTAGTTTCATTCCCATAACAGGAAAACCTGGAACCCATTAGAATGGAAACCTAGAGACTTCTATAATGTAATGATTCCTAAGAGTCCCAAACTTGCACAGTTTAGTGACAAGGAAAAAAAGAAAGAGGGAAAGAAAATCAGTGGTTTCCTTTCTAATTTTCTCTTCTGTAGATATTGATTTTACTTTAACACAGCTACCTTTACTATGTGTCTCCTCACATCAGACCATTACATCCATGTGTAGGTCTTTATAAGGTTAAATACATTTCCTGAAAACTTAGCCAGCCTGTGTCATGCAGAAAGAAAAAGACAAAATTAAAGAAGTCATCAGTGAGTTAACTATTAACACTAGAAATTAAAACTTTTTATTCAAGGCACAGAATGCACATATTTGCTCAGAGAACAAAGACCTAGGGGCATTTTGTAAGTGTTATTTTATCTTTGATGTATTAGTCCATCTGTTCTTATATAAATGACTTTAAGCTCTGAAGCAAGGGCCCTTGGTAGCCCAGCAGGGATTTCTGCTGATTCTTAAGGTTGGTTCCTTCCCTACAGATGTCTTTTTCTCATCCAGTGTAATTTCTGAGCAAGTATTTGGGTTATTGCTAGAAAGAACATAAATGTATTTTAAAAACAACAACAAAAATAACTATTTCACCTAATCTAAGTAACATAATGTTTTACCTTTCAGGGTCTTCTTACTGATTTCTTGCTCTTCTATGTGGCTTGTGAAAACTCTATTAATCTTCCATGGTAAGTGCATTACCCACAAAGGGGGGTGGGTAAATAGATACATATCCAAAACAGAATGAAAACATATGTCTACACTAAAACCTTTACACAAATGTACACAGCAGCATTACTCACGATAACCAAAAGGTCAAAACAACCCAGATGTCCATCAGCTGATAAATGGATGAAAATGTGATATATCCTTATAATAGAATACTACTCAGCAATAAAAAGAAATGAAGTACTGACACATGCTACAATATGGCTGAACTTGGAAAACATGCAGAATGAAGGAAGTCTGGTATAAAAGCCAATTTTATTGAATAATTACCTTTATAGAAAGTTTCAAGAACAGGCAAATCCATAGAATCAAAAAATAGAGGAGTGGATCCACAGAGTTTGTGGGGTTTGGGAGCCGGGGTGACTGCTAAAGGGTACAGGGTTTCTTTGGGAGATGGTAAAAATGCTCCGAGATTGACTTGTTGATGGTTGCAACTGTGAATTTTTTGGTTGCAAACTGTGAATTGGTTGATGGTTACAAAACATTGAATTGGACATTTTAAGAGGTTGAATTGCATAGTATAATTTTTTATCTCAAAGCTATTGCAAAAATAAGGAATACAGGTGGGGAGGAAAATAATGATCTATTAACTAGGTTGACCATTATATCCTGATTGCTTAGAATTGTGTACGTTTTRGACAGTGGACCAATGAATTATTAATACCCCTGCTTTGACTTTTAAAATGTCTTTTGTGGATGACAAACCATATGGTCACTATTATGATTTGGATCTAGAATGTACCCCAAATGTCCCTCTGTTGAATGAATGCAGCAGTGTTCAGAGGTGGCTTTTGGAAAGTGATTGGATCCTGAGGGCTTTAACCTCATCAGTGGGTTCATCCATTAATAGGTTGATGACATTATTGGGCAGTGGTGGAACTCTAGGAAGTGGGACTTAGTTGGAGAAAGTGGTCATTGGAGGTGTGATCTCTAAGGGTCTACCTTGTCCCCAGCCCTTTCCTTTTTCTCTCATTCTCTGCTTCCTGGTTGCCTTGAAGTGAACATCCTTCCTCAGACACGCCTCTACCATGATGTTCTGTCTCACCTCAAGCCTAGAGCGATGGAACCAGCCACCTATGGACTGAAACCTCTGAAACTATGAGGCAAAATAAACCTTACCTCCTCTAAGTTGTTTTTCTCAGGTATTTTGTCCCAGTGATGAAAAGCTAACATAGTCACCATATATGAAACCAGAAATATTATGACCTTCTACAGTGTATATTAAAATTTCCTAATCAAAATATTACATAGAGTTCTTTTAAAAATAAAGATGCTCATATCCTTCCCATGGATTCCAGTTCAGTAGGTCAGGGGTAGAAATTCATGTTTGTGTTTTAACAGTTATCCTGGTGATTCTTACAAATTGTTGGCATTCATTATTCCACGTGCCTATAAAATGAGGTGACCAAATTGCCTTTGGGGCCAAATAGAATTCCAAAGAGATATGCGAATGTTATTTCAGAAAATTTGTTGATTATGGAAGGCTAGAAACAAATTCTGACTACGAGGAAAATGAAGAGAAAATGAAATTAACTAAGCACAGTGATGGTTCCAAGAAAAATCCTTCTCTCCTTTCCCCTCTGGATCAGAAAACAGATCTAACATCTATTGTTCAGTAATGATGAATAAATACTAACACCAAGAATGGTCCAGTTGGAAATTTCTTCTCTAAAAAGTGGCCAAAGGGAGAGAGAGATGGGTCCCGGGGTGGCCCTGGCTGCTGCTGTTTTATCTCTGGACCTGATATCCAGTATCATAACTCAGACTTTTCTGTCCAATTCCATTCTACAGTCCCTAACACAGAATTTTATTGTTGTGAACCCTTATACCCAGTTTTGGAGACAAAAAGCAGGACCCTGATGTAAAGCAGAGAAACAGAAAAATGCAAGAAACTTCAGCATCAGGACAATTTTTTTAAAAAGATTATAAAAGAAAGAAATGAAACTGGGTCATAATTTTAAAGTAAATATAAGCAGTAGTTTGAATCATAATATGAATCAAACCTTGATAAAATGTAATCTGTCATATGCATACTGTATGCAGATTATTATTTCCTCTTAGAGAGTTTCCTGAGAATATGCAGATTAGTAAGTACYTGAAATTATTTGTGACTCGTTTGTCTACAACTTAACTTCTGCTTGAGGATGCTAAGTCTTTATTGTTTGTTCACATGGAAGAACTCTTGACACTTTCAAAGCCTGAAACAAAAACTGCACTTTCCCACATAGGTAGAATCATCATAAAATTTTTTTAAGGAGAAGGAAAAAGTCATTACTAACCTGTTTTCTCATTTGGACAGATTGCTTTAATTCATATTCTTTTTTGCTTCTTTAATCAATCAAGAAAAAGTTCTCCTGCAGATTCAGAGCTCAGAAGTATACTCCTCCTTGCTCCTGTCCATGCTCAAGCCTCTTGATCTCTGGGGAAAAGGTTGACATCTGGGTAAATTTCTTTGTTTCACTTTGTTCCAACAAACTGTTTGAAATGTTCAGGCTTTTTACTGAAATTTGAGTCCTTTTTTGTCTCTTAGGTACTGCCTAAAATGTTCCAGTATTTTGAAAAGGATTCCTAATTAGGTTGAGGGACCTCCAGGATGAGTATTATTATTATTAAATAACACAAATTAAACTTCTATGATTTCCAAGCTGCTACTTTTTAATGAAACATTCCATGCATGCCTTTTAGGCTCCTACAGAATATTAGCAAGATCTATTAACTCAGCAGATCAAAGTACCAATATTAGCTATCACAGGAATATTTAGATGTCTAGCTTTGGTGTATCTGCAGGATGGGTTACCCATGGACTGGCAGCATAAGCAGTAACTTAGCATTACTCAAAAAATAGTTGGGGTTGCTGGGGTTGTGGCTTAGAGGTAGATCACTCRCCTAGCACATGTGAGGTGCTGGGTTCAATCCTCAGCACCACATAAATAAATAAAGTAAAGATATTGTATTCAATTACCACTAAAAAAAATATATTAAAAAAAGGCAATTGGGAAAGGCTTTAAAACATTTTAACCAAATGTTTAAAACATTTTAAAATTTTAGTCTAGTGATACAGTTTTACTAGATCCTTGTAAGCATCCGAAATGAAAAGCATTTTTCTAGAGGAAAAACCTCAGATGAGATCCTTAAGTAATGAAATAGCAGCAGGTTTAGTAGACTCACACACATGAAGTTTGGCAGAGCTTGAAGATGATGGACAGCTGGCATCAGAAACAAGATCAATACTAAGCCAGATCATAGACCTGAATTTTGATTATAGTTAGAAAATGGGGCCTACTGAACAATGAAGATTTCAATCAAGAAAAACATTAGGAAAGCAAACCAGTTTTAAAAATAATTCTGATGTATTTTGGGAATAATTTTATTGAACTTGAAATCAGAAAATAACAATAACTAATAGTTTATTTGATGCTTCTCCTGGTTCTGATTCAGTATTTCAGTTCTAGGCTTCTGTTAAGGTTCCGTCAACCCCAACAATGAACCAGGGGTAAGCTATGATAAGGTCTTCCATTTTAAATAAATGCAAATCACATTGAACTAGAGAAAGGTATAAAGTTCATTTAAGGTATTGGTGTGTTTGTAGAAGACCTGGATGAGTGGAAAAACAGGGTGACAATAAAGGACAAAGACTCTGATATAAGGACAGACATTATTTTGTCTACTTTTTTTTTTCAATGTGACTGTAGGTGGGCCTGTGAGTTGATCTAAATGACCTTTGATAGGCCTATGGTTAGCTTTAGGAGCTATTACCAGTTTTCTAAAGTGATTTCATCATTTTACATTCCCACTGTCTTTTTGTGTGGGGGATGGGGCAGGTACTGGGGATTGAACCTAGGAGTTTCGGATTGCTAGACAAGTGCTCTCTACCACTGAGTTACATTCCCAGCACTTTTTTCTAATTTTTAGTTTGAGATAGGATCTTGCTAAGTTGCCAGGCTGGCCTCAAACTTGGATCTTCCTGCCTCGGCCTTCTGAGTAGCAAGGATTATAAACTTGTACCTGTCTGTCATTAGTTTTTAGCAATTCAGTATCTCCATGTTCTAGTGAGTGTGTGGTGGCTTCTCATTGTACTTTTATTTTGTATTGCCCTGATGACAAATTTTATGTAGTCCTTTTCATATTTTTCTTAGATTTTTGGATATCAGTACCTGTTCCTATTTCTTATCTACTTTCTTAAAAAATTAGGTTTTTAAGACCTTTTTGCTTCTCTGTACTGATCTGTAATTTTAAAAATATATATCACAGGACATGAGTCTTTTTTAGATGTATGTATTACATTCTTCTCCTACTCTTAGGTTTGCTGTTTCACTCTCTTAATGGWGTCTTTTAATGAACAGAGGTTCTTAATTTAAATGTAGTCAAAGTTTATCAATATTTTTCCTTTATATTTAGCACTTTTATGTTTAAAAAGCCTCTGTCTATCCTAGGTTTTTTTTCTAATATTTCAGTGGCTTCATTTTGATATTTAAATCTTTATTGAACACTTGTTTTAGTAGGAGATATGAGGTAGGCATCCAATTTATTTTTTCCAAATGCTCTTTTAGTTACCCAAAAGCATTTTTCAGATAATATGCAAAATGCCACCTTTTGTGGGATGTAGCTCAGGTTTAGAGTGCATGCTTAGCATGCAGGAGGCCCTGGGTTTAATCCTCAGCAACACACACACACACACACACACACACACACACACACACATACACCTTTAAGGGACTTCCAGTCACAATAAATCTGTAACTTAGCAATGCTCAATAAAATACTAAAACACCAAAAGACTGGTAATCTTAGAAACAAGAAAATTCTCTGTGGATCAAATATAGAGCAAAAAAGAAAAACAATAATTGGAGCTGAAGCAAATGAACTTTGGTTTTGTGAGCTTAAAAAAGGGTAGCAATATTTGCTAGGAATAGGCTCTAATAGGGTCTCCAGTGACCCCTGCTTTCTCATATTTATACCCTCTTGAAATCCTCTTCCCTTGAGTGTGGGCAGGACCTGATTCTTATCTAACTAGAGGAATATTACAAAAGTGATGAGATGAAGCTTCTCAGATCAAGTTACAAAAGGATTCTGGCTTCCAACTTGCTGTTCTTTCTTGCCTTTTCCCTCACTTACCTCTAGGGATGCTAACTGTTACATTGTAAGCTGTCCTTAGGGAGACCACAGGGCAAGGAATCCACATCTCTTGTGAACCTACAGTAAGGACCTTTGGCTTGTCAACAGCCAGGTGAGTAAGCTTGGAAGCATATGCTTCCCATATGAGCCTTAATATGATTGCATTTATGACTGACAACCTAATTGTAGCTTTGTGAGAAATTCCAACCCAAAAGATACAACTAACCTGAGTCTGGATTCCTGATCCAAAGAAACTATGAAACAGTGAATATTTGTTGTTTGATGTTGCTAAGTGTGAGGGTAATTTGTTATACATTAATAGACCTAGCATACCCACAGTGAAGATTTAACAACCTTCAGTATTTGTTTTTAATATGAATCTAATATATATACTTATATAATATTTATATACATAATATGTTGCCTTTTAAAGACCCTTAGGACATTCACAAAACTCTACATAATAGTTCCTAAAAAAAAACTCAACGAATTCCACAAAGAACTAAAACTGATAAAATCTTCTGATCAAATGGGGAAAAACACCTTGGTAATATTTTTAGAATGATTTCTTAACAACTCTGAGACAAAAGAATATCAAAATCAGAATTACACAATTWATATAAAAAAGCAAGAAGTGACAACAGAAGCATATATCACACACAACAGTGTATTCACACTATGGGAAAATGTATAACTGTAAACATTTGTGTTAATTTATAAGTTATTCAATAGTTCTCACAGGAAAATATATAACCTTTAATAATTGTGTTAATTTATAAGTTTTTCACATAAGAATGAAAGTTTGAGTTTTCAATTCAAGAAAATGGATGGAGCTAACAAACCATTTAGCCAATAAATAGTCTACTTAAGAAAAATGTAGAAAATAAATTAAAAAATTAGAATGGGAAAGAATGAATTCAGAGAAAATAAAAAAAATTCTAACAAGTTATTTTGCTTAAGTCTACATATTTGAACCATTATTTAAATGGATATATTTTTAGGAAAGTATGATTCATGAAAGTGTACCTCCAGAGAAGAGAACAAATCTAAATAAACTAAATATCATTAAGATATTAAAGCACATTGGTGCACACCTGTAATCCCAGATAGTTGTGAAGCTGAGGCAGGACAACTCCAAGTTCAAGTCTTCATTCTGCCCTTAATGATTCACATCCTTTACACATGCAAAGAGCACTCATCCCCCATCCCAGCTCCTCAAAGTTACCTTCAATTACAGCATCAGCTTCAAGTTCATCTTCTCATCACATAAATCATCCAGGTGAAGATGAGGCTCCCCAGTTGGAATTCCTTAAGTACAACTCCTGTTATTTTTTTCCTATTAGTTCCTCTTGGTCCATAAAACACTTCTCCACCCATAGGCACCTTGCAAGAGAGATAGGTATAGGATAACAATTTTAGATATTTTTTGTTAAAAAAAGGAGAAATGGGAGGCACAGGAGAGTCATTGGTCCATTGTAATTCTGAAATTCAATTGTCCCAGTGTTGGAAGTTCTTCTATTAGATCACAAGACCTAGGAATGGTTCTCCATGGCTTTCAGCTCTGGAATCTAGGTCCCTGGTTTCATCCTTGGAGTCACATTTTCTTTTTCAAAAAGGTAGTACATGCTATAGTAGAGAAGTTGTTCAGCCTGTTTTTGCTGTCAATAGAATTAGGGGTGGGGTGGGGGGTCTAATGGCCTCATTTAGTTTTATACTGTACTTTTCATTCCCATTCTTGTCAGTTCAAGCTGGCAGAGTTCTTGCAAAAACATTATGGGCTTCCTGTGAATCTCGTTAGGGTTCACTCCATTACACAAAAGTCAAGAGAGAAATCTCTTCTAGATAAGCTGTTCTTAAACCTTAGGCGCATGTTTAGAAGTCTGAGGGACAAAGCTCTTAAGCTTCCCAAAGGCCTATTATTTGATTGAGAGGATCTGTGAAGCACACTCTTAATCCTTTTAAAAAGGTCTTTCACATGACCAAATAGTACTGTAAGGGCACCACTTTTTGTCTTTCTTAATCTAACAAAATGTTTTACAATCACATCTTTGACATCATTTTTAGACCAGGATTCTCCTGGCAGTCCCCACAGTATGATCTTTTTCTGGAAGCCATTTTTTGATGTTTGCATTTTTTAAATCTGGAGAGGCTGAGAATTTTCAAAACCATCAAGTCCGGATTCTTTAACAAACATTCATATAAAATATGTCATCTTAACCATCATTAAGTGTACCTATTGTGGTATTAAGTACCTATTGTGGTGTAGCCAAACCACTGTCCATCTCCACAATACTTTCATCTTACAAAACTAAAACTATACCTATTAAACAGCAGCTTCCCATTTCTTCCTTCACCAACCCTTGACAACCACCATTCTACTATCTGTATGAATCTGACTACTCTAGGTAGCTCATATAAATGGAATTGTTTTTATTTGTATGACTGCAGTCAGTYATCCATGTTGTAGCATGTTTCATCCATGTTATAGCATGTCTCAGAATTTTCTTTTCAATGAATAATATTCTATGGTATGTATATCCTGCATTTTGCTTGTCTATACATCTGTCAATAGATATTTGAATTGCTCCCACCATTCAGCTAATTGTGAATAATGCTGTTATGAACATAGGCATATAAATATCTCTTCAAGACTGATTTCAATTCTTTGTGGAATTGGCAGATCATATGGTAATGCTATTTTTAGATTTTTGAGGAACATCATACTCTTTTCAAAATCACAATTTTACATCCTACACCTTTTTACATCCTTACCAGCAGTGTACAAGTTTCTAGTTTCTTCATGTTCTGACCAACATTTTCTATTCTCCCCCGCCCTCAGCCTTTTATTAAAACATTTTTTTTAGATAGACACAATACCTTTAGTTAGTATTTTATTTTATTATGTAGTACTAGGGATCAAACCCAGTGCCCTACAGTGCAAGGCAAGAGTTCTACCACTGAGCCACGACCCCAGCCCCTGTTGGAGTTCTTTCTACTYAGAAAATCATTGCCTGAATCTATATCTTGAAGTGTTATCCATATGCTTATTCTAATAGTTTCAGATCATATATTAAGGTCTTTGATCCATTTTAAGTTGGCTTTTGAGATATATAGGATGTCCAGATATCTCAGCACCATTTGTTGAAGAGCCTATCTTTTCTCCAACTTATATTTTTGACACCTTCATCAAGAATCAGATGGCTGCATGTTTTTTTTTTTTCGGAATTCTTTAGTTTATTCCATTAACCTCTATCTGTTTTTATGCCAACGTCATGCTATTTTTGACAGTATGACTATGTAATACATTTTGAAATCAGGCATTATAATGCATCTAACTCTTTTTTCCCAGGGTTACTTTGACTATTTGGAGTTTTTTATGGTTCCAGATAAACTTTTGGATTATTTTTTCTAGTTCTGTAAAAAATGACTGATATTTTGATGGAAATTGCACTGAACCCGTAGATGGCTTTTGTAGTATGCCCATTTAAACAATATTAATTCTAATGCAAGAACATGGGAGGTCTTTCCATCTAGGAGATGTCTTCTTCTGCTTCTTTCTTCAGTGTTTTGTAATTTTAAATGTACAGGTCTTTAACCTTCTTGGTTAAGTTTATTCCTATGTATTTTATTTCTTTGAGATCGTGGTAAATGAGTTGTTTTCCTGATTTTTATTTCAGCAAGTCTGTTATTGATATTTAGAAAAGCTACAGATTGAGGATTGAAAATGGCAGATCAGAGGGACCTACAATATCATAGCAGCTCCCTAAGACTGAATTAAAACAATTCTGTGGTATCAAATTGAAGTAGGAAGCCTGTGGGAGAATGCCAGTAGGCAACTCACAAAACTAGCAAATAGGTGAAAACCAGAAATATTAGTTTCTAGACTAGAAAGAGAATTGATCAAAGAATAGACTTTAGCAGTCCTGGGGTCATGGTGGTTCAGTCAGAGGGACAGCTCCTCTTCAGTGAGCTGAAAGAAGTTCTCCCACTGAGTTTAAGATAAACAGGTGCCATTGTCCAACAAATTCACAACTTGAACAGAAAATAAACTCAGATACAGTGAGCTGATCTGCTGTGGGAGAAAGTCCCAGCACTCTCCAGCAAATTKAGTGAAAGTGGGGAAGCCAAAACAGCTCAAAAGTACTTGTGGACTTCCTGGATGGGAGGCTAGAAATCGCTGCAGCTTTCCTTTGTTCTTCATACTTTGTTCTCTATTTTTAAAATTCTTTTATGCTTTGTTCTTGGTATACTTTCTCTTTGAATACCCAAGACCAAACAGCCACTTAGGCTTACTTTTTTTTTTCCCTTTTTGGTACTGGATTTAACCCAGGGGTGCTTTAATGCTGAGCTACATCCCTAGTACTTTTTGATATTTTAAAATATATCTATTTCTGGTAACAGGGATTAAACCCAAAGGAACTTAACCACTGAGCCTTATCCCAGTCTTTATTTATTTATTTATTTATTTATTTTTAAATTTTGAGACAGGGTCTCATTAAGTTGCTTAGGGCCCACGAGTTGTTGAGGCTGGCCTTGAACTTGCAATCCTCCTATCTCAGCCTCCTGAGTCTCTGGGATTACAGATGTGTGCCACTGCACTGGCTAGGCTTAATCATCATGAGATGGGTGGGTGCCCCTGTCATGAATCTGTTTGGGCACAGAAATGAGACTGAAACATAGACTTGGGAGGAGGTCTGGGCTATGAGAGCTGCAGCTGTGGGTCTGCTAGTTCACAGAGGGGAGAAGAGCAAAGAGAACTTTCATTTAATCTGGAGGTCTTAATGCTGGGAGAAAGAGAGTAGATGACAGGAGGTGCAATTGGGAGAGATTAGAGCTGAGTGGAAAGCAGGGATCTCATAACAGCCTACCATGGAACCTACACCATCTTTCCCATGCCCAGAAGGGACTGGAGAATAGGCTGACATGTCCCACACAGCTCCCCCACCACACAGACTGGGGTTCTCAGAACAAGGGATGCAAGACCACCCAGATTAGTCTATAGGCTGCACAGGGGAGAGGGCTGGCCAACAGTCCTACCAGACTTACATCCACATTCTATGTCACAAAAACAAAACCATTTTGAGAATAAAGTCTGCTCTAAAAAAGAAAGCATTCCCCCAATAGATGTGCCAGACAGGAAGGCGTGGAGCTCAGCAAACAGCCTTTCCTAACAAGTTTGGTTGCCTTGGTCAGAATTGAGAACCAAACAATTATAATATTGTGTCACCCAAACTCCCTGATATCTGGGAGATTCTAAAATTGAAACCCAGAAAGAATTGTCTCTATTTGAAAAACTTCCATAAGAAGAAAGCAGAATTTCTGTATGACAATTATTGCATTAACTACTTGATTTAAATTGATTTCCAATGTCCTCCGACATTTTGTGTGTTTTCAGAGTTCTACCTAACTTTATGCATTTTAACAATTAATTGGATCTTTCCTTGATTCTCTTTTCTTCTTTCTCATCTCTACTTCCTTCCCCTCTCCTTCATCTTTTTTTTCCTCATTTCATCTTCTGCCTCAATTCCCTCTCTTATCCTTCTTCTTTCACTTTTCCTATTTTTCTCTGTTTTCTTTAATTTTATCCTTTCTTCCATATAAATTGGTATGTTATCATTAATTCTTACTCTTTTCAGCTTATTTGATATTATTTCTCACTTAATTTACTCCTTGGTTAATATTTTAGAGACTATTAGTAATAGCACTTATGGTATATGTTGATATATAATTTGTTTTTAAATTTCCACTGTTACTGGCAATTATTCCTCCTCTCAAGGTGGTACTGGTGGTGGTTGAACTTTACATTTTGATTATGCTGATTGAGTGTGATGAAGCTAACATTTACCCATGTCCAGGGCTTAGTATAAAGTAATAACTACTAATTAAAATATCACAACAGATAGGACCTCAGAAATATAGGACTTCAGAAAACATGAGGAAACAGTCCAATAAGAAGTCTCCAAAAATGCATAACTCCCCTGACAGAGGGAATTCACTGAAATTCAATACTGCATGGTCAGAAGACTTGGAGAGCCCCAGAGATTGAGGTTCATTGAACAGAGGACAAGAAAGAGTACTTCAAAACCAAGCTGGTGGCAGCAGCAGTGCCAATTCTCTGCATGGGGGAGGGGTGTCACAAACAGAAAGTGAGAAACACAGAACACAAATATGGCATAGGAAAACATAGAACAGAAAATCAGTCTAATCTTAGCTGAAGCAGAGACTGAACAGTGAACTGGTGGTTGAAAAGTGTTCTGTGTTTCTCTTAAGAGAGCCAAGTTGGGGAGCCATCTTGAGGTCATTCTAAAACTTGTTGCTATGGGAACCCAGAAGATGGAAGTAAATATTGACAAATTTTCCTAAAAAGTGTCTAAAAGTGTTGC